GGGGCTGTGCTGTTACGGGGGGTCTCTGGGGGCTGTGCTGTTACGGGGGGTCTCTGGGGGCCGGGTCGTTACGGGGGGTCTCGCGGGGCCGGGGTCGTTACGGGGGCAGGTCTCACGGGGCTGGGTTGTCGGGGGGGGTCTCTGGGGCCGGGGCGTTACGGGGGGGCTCTGGGGGCCGGTTGTCGGGGGGGTCTCTGGGGGCTCGGCGCAGCCCAGGCCGCGTTGTTATGGTAACCATGGCGCGCGGGGAGGGCAGGCCCCGGATGTTCGCGGGTTCGCGCGCAGGGGAGGGGGAGGGGGGAGTTACGGAAGGACCCGGATGTCCCCGGCCGCGGGCTCGGGGGGTTCTCAAGCCGGGGCTGGGCTGAGGGAGCGAAGGGACCCGGATGTTCCCGGGGCGGGTGGGGCTAGGCTATGTAAGGAGCCGGATGTGGCTGGGGGGCGGGGCTGTCGAGCAGGGGGCGGGGCTCAGGGATGGACCCGGATGTGCGCCAGGCCTGAGCCATGCGCAGGTCCCGGGTTTTTCCCTGAGCCCGGCTTGGCGGGAAGAGGCGGGGCGCGATGGCGGTTGGGCAGGACCCGGATGTAGGCCGCGTGCCAAGGTCCCGGATGGGCGCCGTTCGGCTGGCCCCTCCCTCCCTGCGTCCTTCCCTCGCGCGCGCGCGCGCGCTCGCTTTAGCGCCCGCTCCAATGGGAGCGGCGGGTGCGCGTCACGTGTCCGGAGGCCGGTGGGCGGGGCCGCTATATAAGGCTCGGCCGGGCGCCGCCTCGGCCGCCTTCTCAGCAGCTCCAGCCCGGGACAGATCCGCTCGGTGAGTGGGGCGGCCGCGCGCGCGGCTTGGGTGGGGGTCGTGAGCGGGAAATGGCGGCGGTTGGTAGCCCTCACGCAGGGGAGTCGGGGGATCGTTGAGGCCGCAGCGGCGGCTTTAAAATGCGCATGCGCGGCCGGCGGAGCTCGAATAAAACGTCGGGCGCCTGGGGGTTCTCTTCGGTTTGGGGGGGGGGCGCTGCGATGTGCGCATGCGCGGGGGAAGCCTCAACGGGCGGGGGGGGGTGGAACACGGCGGGCGCGCACGCGCGTGAGGCGCCTGCGTCCTCGTGTTCCTTTGGGTCGTTCCCGCGCTGGTTCCGCGCGGGGGTGGGGGCGGGTTGGAACGCTGGAGGGGTCGGCGTTCCATCCGGCGCGGGCCTCGCTACTGCGGCCACGTGACCGCCGCCATCTCTTCGGCGCGGGACACAAGATGGCGGCCCTTGGGGGGAGGGGCGCGATTCCCTCCCGGGTGGAGGGAGGCTGGGGCCATCTGGCCTTCCTCGGGGTGGGGGAGCAGCGCACGTGCGGGGGTCGACTCCCTGCAGGCTAGGGGGGCGGGGGAGTTAGACGATCCTCCATTGGGTAGAGGGGAGCAGAGGGGTCCTGGGGTGGCTTGGATGGGGGCTGGATGTGCGGAGGAGAGGGCCTGCCCGAAGCCTGGGGCGGGAGGGGTATGTCCTGTTCTGTGGGCAGGATGGGGGGTCACCCTGCGAGCACAGCTCTCCCTAGATTAGCAGCGCTAGTGTGGAGGTTGGCAGATCCATCCAGGAGCTGGTGATTACAGTCCCTCCACTAGAGAGCTAGTCCAATGGGATCCTGGGACCCTTCTCCCCGGAGGGCGGGAGCAGACAGGGATTGGGCTCAAGCGGAGGCTTTCAGGCTCCATAAGGCCCCCAGGGAGAAGGGACTCTAGGGAGAGCAGTGGGGTCCAATTGCTCTCAAGGGGTATTAGTTGCTCCCTGCCTCTGGAGGGGAGGTGGGGAGAGCTCTTGGGCTCCTTACCAAGGCAGGAAGGGCTGAGGTTGATGCTGGGGAGAGTGCCTCCCTTCCACGTGGGGCCTGTCCCCAGGCTTGGTAGGGAGAAGCCCTGGTGCAGCTGTTCTGTTCCTTCTAACCACCTTGCATCTCCTTCCCCAGACTCCTCCTCCTCCACCACCACCACCATGTCTTCTGAAGAAGGAAAACTCTTCGTTGGGGGTCTGAATTTCGAGACCGACGAACAAGGCCTGGAGCAGCATTTTGGCTCTTTCGGCCCCATCTCTGAGGGTAAGGATTCGGTTACACCCATGCTCCTGGTCCCTACAGCTGTGAGGCGAATTAGTCTTGCTGGAGCATTTGAGGGGGTCATGTACCCAGGGCCTAGTTGCAGGTCGTGCTTAGGCCTCTGCTTCCAAAAAAAAGCTGTTTTGTTCTAATCCTTGATCCCAGCTGCCTAAGTAAGAGTTGTCCAGATCTGGGTGTAAGAGGCCATCTGCTGATACCACATGGCAGGTTCAGATATCCCAGCACCTGGCCACAACGTCTGTACTACGCAAGGATAATCTGTAGCCCCAGGGCAGTTCCTATTGCCTAGGCTCAAAGGGTGAGGACCAAAAAGTGATTGATTTCTTCTCCTTCCAGTGGTCGTAATTAAAGACAAAGAGACCCAGAGGTCCAGAGGCTTTGGCTTCATCACCTTTGCCAACCCGGAACATGCGTCAGATGCCATGAGGGCAATGAATGGAGAGGTGAGTCTTTCCACAGGGACGGGGGATGCTGCTTACCCCGCTCCCCCTGTGTGCCTAGCTCCCCCTTTCCTAACGTGTCTTGTTCCTCTGCAGTCCGTGGATGGGCGTCAGATCAGAGTTGACCATGCTGGGAAATCTTCCCGTGGATCCAGAGGTGGCTCATTCGGAGGCAGAGGCCGAGGCCGCGGCTACTCCAGAGGTGAGTCTAGCAGCCCTCCTGTTCTGAGCTGAAAGCCAGCCGGCCCTTGGGAGGAAAAACACTCATGTCTTTCTGTCCTTTTCTCTGCAGGAGGTGGAGACAGAAGCTACGGTGGCGGCCGCTATGACAACCGAAGTGGAGGCTATGGCGGGTCCCGGGACTACGGCGGCAGGTAACTCATGCAGAGGTGGCTGGTACCCTGCTGGCGGGGAACTAGAGAGGGCCCAGGCAGAGCTACCAGAATGATTAGCAAACTTGCTAAGTAAGACTCCTGGAGTCTATCTATGCAGCTTAACAGAGAATGTTAAGGGGTGACTTGATTGAAGCCTAAGTACCTACATAGGGATCAACACTTCGATATTGGGTGTCCTCTGCCCAGTTGAAGAGGTCTAACGTGATCCAAGCACTGGAAGTTGAAGCTAGATAAATTCTAGAAATAAGGCACCTGGTTTGTAAGTGAGGGATGTTATCTACTGGAACTGAGTGAGGGCTGTGGGGGATTCTCCATCACTGCTACATTGAACTCAAAATTGGGTGTTTTTTAAAAAGATCTTGAGTTCTTGATTAATCTAATCTTGGCTGGCCTGTCTTATGGGTCAGATTAGATCAGTGTTCCCATTGCCCCTAGACACGAGGGCATCTGGAGCCAGTGTAAAACAGTTGTGCTTTGCTTTCAGAAGTCAGGGAGGATATAACGACCGCTACTCCTCTGGAGGCTCTTACAGAGACAACTATGACAACTAAGGTAGGTGAAGCCCAGAGAATGAAATACAGCACTTCTCTTGCTTAGCAGGTGTACTTAAAACCTTTGCAACGCACCATCTTGTGCTGAGCAGTGGCCGTACTCGAGGCTTATTATCTGGGACGACTCTTTATCCGCCTTAACAAGCCTATCCGAGTCTTATTGCCAGGCCTTGGTTCCGTGACCCTGGTCGATAGCTAACATTAAATGCATGTGGAGGCTTAGAATTCCATTTAACACCAATGACCGCCATCGAGCGTCCAAGTGACTAGCTAACTGGGGGAGGGGGAGTCCTGGAGATTCCTAGCCTCGCTGAGCCCAAAAAAAGTCTAGGAGTTGGTGAAATGCTACAAACATGTCCGTATGCTACAGTGCCTTTACGATTGTACCTACTTCTTGTCCTCAGCTCGCAACGAGTAAAAACCCTTCCTGACTCAAGATCGTCCTTCCAATGGCCGTATTTATAAAGAGTTTTGGAGCTTCGCTGAATCTTATTGTTTAGTTATCTACCTGTATCTTCCCTTTTGTAGTCTTGTCACACGCAGCCTGACAGCTTCTGCTACGAGATGGCCCGTTGAGACTTTCCTCAAGAAAGCTCTGTTTAGTTTTGAGTGTTTTTTTAAAAGCATTTTTGAAATCTGGTTTATTTTTCTCCTTTTGATTTGTCAACAACCCAAGGTTTCTTTTAAATTGCCAAGACGGGGCCCTGAACTCACTTTAACACATTGTTCCCGCAAGCTGGAGTTTCTAAGACAAGTGCAATGATACCTTGGAGTTCTGTTCCTTTAGTGTATAGCAAGGGAGGGGTGAAATGCGCGGCAGCCTTTGGTATATCTAAAGGGACACAAGTGACTCGTAAGTTCGATCTGCAGAAAAAAGGTATTTTCACTGTACAATGTAACAACCCCCAGAACTAAGACTTGCAAAAACGTTCCACGAGAGGTTCTTGAAAATGTTTGTTTATATTGTCCTTTTTTTACTGGAAGAAATGCGCATAATTCCATTGGTATTGTATTTGAAGTGGTGAAGGAATTCCTGTATTCAGTTCTCTGGCTTTACGAAGCCTATTAAAAGACCGTTCTGAAACGAACTCTTTGCTCTCGACATTTTGACATTTCGTTACACTGCACAAGACAGACAGAGATGGGAGTGAGGTTAGGGTAGAGGAGACCGTTTCTGATCCCACTTACGCCGACCTAAATGTCACTGTATGTGGAACCAGACGGCAGCCTGGCCCTGATCTCCTGTCAGTGTAGCACAAACATTAAACCCCATTGTCCCCTCTGTCTGCCTTGTTGAGCAGCCGAAAATATCGAAAGGGGTTTGCAGTCTAATTCTGCTTCTGAAGCTTTGCGGCCGCATCAAGGACAAATTCCCGGCTAAACCGGCAAGGATTCTCAAATCTGGCTCCAAAAATTAGCCTTTAAACCAGCACCGGTTTCCATGACTCCTTGGGTGCTCCCTGCAGCGTCTTGCAATCCAAACGCTGCCGTCTTGTGCTGCCGCATGAGCCGCAAAGTGAAAGTGCTTGACCCTAAGCTGGAAGCTCTAGCAAGTGGATTTGGTGGTGGAGGTGATTTTTAGGAAAGCCGTCTTTCGGTTTCCTTAGAAACCAAAGCAAGACGCAGCTGGCTGTCCAGTGATGCCGGAGGATCTAGGATTGTCTAGGCTGCTCAGTTCCTAAACAGCACGAATCCCTAACTGAAGTCGCTTTAACTTCAGCCGGCAAGTCACATCTGCCACTAATGCCCTCCGTTCTTGGTGGCAGTGGCAACAGACGTTGGAAAAGGGACAGTGACTTAAACCACTGAATCTCCTGGAGCTGGCGCCTATGCCACAGGGGTACGGCCGCCCCTCGCTCTGTGCTGGGAGGGTGTATTTACTCGCCCTTCCCAGGGTGTGTGGGAAGCCAACCTGGAGTGCGTGGCCGAGATTAAATCCAGCAGCTTCATCCATAGCTGATGAACCTGGGAGGTGTCTTCCCAGCCCACAGCAGCAGGATGGTGTCAAATCATCCCGTTAGCGTGCCCCCCACCTCGGGGGGGTGTCTCGTCCCTCCGTTCTCCTTTTAATGCTTCGATCTGTCAGCCGAGCGGTCAAGAGGCGCTGCTCTTTGGACCCGGTTAGCACAGAATTAGGGTCAGACACGGCCAGCCGGTGTCAGAGGGGTCGGTGGGCCTGTTGTAGTTAGCCTTGTCCTGATCTTACCCGCTGTGAGCATTCTCTGCTAGCGTATGGAAACCAGTGTCCTTCGAGACCCCGAAGTGAGTTGTGACTCTCCTTCAGTGCGATCCGTGTGAGACGAAAGCTGCTCTCTTGCCTAGTTCATATGTGGATATAGTCCTGTAATTCGAGGTAACTCTTTTGCTCGTGTCCGCATCTTCTCTCCTCCACAGCTCGTTCCCTAGGGCTAACGCTGGTTGTTTTTTTTGACTGATTCTTTTTGGGGGCCTGTCTGAGCTGGGCCTGACCCCTACTGCTGTGGGAGTGGGGGGAGGCAGTCTGGCCTGTACCGAACACCCAGCCTCCCCCTCGCCATCACTGCCGTTCGGTCCAAGATTTTAATCCATGCCTTGTGCAGCCCTTGGACTCGTCTGCTGGGAGGGGCTGTTCCCAGTGCAGCGGGGGGGTGGAGGGGACTCCGGTGCCTCTGGACCTGCCAGGTTAAATTGCTCTGCGCCGGTGACGAATAGACACCTTTTGGGTGGGGTTCTCAAAACGTGGGGTTGGGTGGAGCCTCCGTAGCGACTGACACTCCAGGGCTGGCCAATGGGCGGCATCGGCCAGCCCTGGAGTAGCCCGCTCAGACCGCCGGGTTCAGCGAATTGTTTGTGTAACGTGCTGGGTGAGTTGAGACTGGCTAGTAACACGGCTTTGCTTTGGCAGGTGCAAGAGGATGGCGCCAGCTGCTCTACCCTGAAAGGAAGGGATACGGAGACTAGAATGGACAGTTCGGCCCAAGGTACGGATCCTGGCCACATCCCATGGCAAAGGGCATAAATCCGCTTGGCTACGAAGCAGTGGTGGGCCCATAGCCCATTGGGCCGGGGTGGGAGCGGATGGAGGGGGGGTGGACACAGTTAACAGCTTAGCCCTGATCTTGGAAAGAATCGCCTGCCAGACCCTCCTGAAGCATAAACCTGTGTCCATCTCTCCTTCCAGGTGGTCGGCACGCACAGGAGTTTGCCACAAGGGCACCCACATGCCTGAGCTGGACGGGCCCGATGACTGCTGTGGGGAGAGCCGGGCACTGCTGAGCCCGTTAGCCAGCGAGGGCACAAACGAGCAAATCCTTCCTTGGCCAGGGTCCTTTTTAGTGTAACAATAAAGACTACTGGACCCAGTGTCCGTGGTGAGCCTTGTCTGGGCAGCGGGAACAGCTGGGTGTGGCGCTCAGCAGACCGGGAGGGAGGGTTTGGGGGGGATGACTCCCTTTGTACCCCTGCGTTGGGGGGCCAATCTGGAACCAGCCTGGAAGAGGAGCGGGTGCGGCGGGTTAGCAGTGTCAGGTCACGGTCTTGTCCACACTGCTGAGTGGAGTTAAGGCCTGGGGAGGGGGTGACAGCCCCGCAGCCTGAAAAGGGAAGGTGGCTGGCGGCCTGGGGCTGCACGCTCCTGTTTGTGTCTCAGGAGCTCCGGCTGCTGGGCCGAGTAGATGCCCAGGAAAGTACCTTCTTTAGCTGCTCAGAGCTCGGCGGCTTCCTTCCTGTTACAGCAGCCGCCCTCCGGCGGGGGAGGAAGCAGGCTCCTGTCAGAGGCCCAAGAGCTAAGCTCTAGGGGACGACAGCCGGTGCTGGCTTCTCACCAGAGCCGGCAGGCACCTGCTTTGCCTCCGGTCTCTTCGTACTGCCCCTGCACCGGCGGGGCTCACACGACTGCTGCCTCGGCACCAGGGCTGGGGGAGCCGTGGCTGCAAGGGGGCAAGCAGCGAGGGCTGGCTGCGGCCCAAGGCCTGTGGGCCCTGGCAGGGACGGGCCGAGCACTGTCTCCACTCCCTGCCCCGGTATCAGCTCCTGGGCGGCCGCCGAGTGTTTTCCTGGCCTCGGCCGCAGCCTTTAGCCGAGATGTCAAGGCTGGAAGCCACCAGGGCCCTGCCCATCCCTGTCCCTCGCTGCTGCTCCTGGAGCCAGCTTGCCTCAGACTGGCCCCTCCCCTGTGCTGAGTGCTGCCCCAGGGTGTGGGGCTGGCTGGCGGGAGGCGTTCGCTTCCCTTTCAGCCTGCTTCCTCATTCGTGTGTTTGCCCGTGACCGTCTCCCCCGCCATGGGGTGAGGCCTGGCCCTACCCTCTGCTTACAAACCTACTCTCCCAGCCCCTGCATCGGTACAGTGCGAGGGCTGGGGAGAGACCCTACAATAACACAGCGGCAGGGGCCCTCCTGTAGCCAATGCTGCTGCATGGTGGAAAGTGTGGGCTGAACTCGGCCCGCTTTGTAAAGCGAGGGGCAGCTGGGGCCTGTGGGTGATGAGTGGGTGCTCACCTGGGGATGGTTGGGGGGAGCAGGCCCAGCCATGCACCAGAGCGAAGGGCCCCCCCCCCAAGCCGCTCCCTTCAGCCTAGGACAAACCAGCTTTGCCCCCAACTTGTCCCCCTCTCCTCAGCAAGCATTGGGGGTGCCCCAAACCTCTTGGCCTGGTCAGGAGAGCGGCAGCTCCATGATTGAACACCCGCCTGATTTGAGCTGGATCTCTGGGCTGGCTGGCTTCCAGGGAGGGGAGCTCCCAGCAAGGAGCCTTACCCAGGCTGCCAGCTGGGGGCCTGGCCCAGCGTCCCAGGCTGGCTGCTCCACTGGCTAGTGGAGGCCCTGGGCAGTGAGGCAGTCCCCCGAGGGGTCACACTCTGCCTGCTGGGCCGGCCATGTGCTCTGCACCCCTCTGAAACAGCCTCCGCTCCACCCCTCCTGGTGTGGCCGGAGCCAGACACTGGGTAGAGGCGGGTACCTGCTGCAGGGGGCCATGTGCCAGCCTGGCCACGCCTGCTTGTGGTGTTACCAAGCCCCTTACCAAGCCATCCACAGCACCCCAGGTGGGGCTGTAGCACCCCCATGTGGCACCTGCCCTCCCCAGGAGACCTCGCCTGTCCCCTCTAGGACAAAGTACAGGGGGAAGGCAGGCAAGGCAAGGCCTCCTCCCCATCTCAGAGCACGGCTCCATGGGGGGGACAGAGACTAGTGGGGGGCTGGTTCTCACCCCTCATTTCTGCCTTCCCCCCTCCCAGCTCTCACTGTGTAGAGCCTAGGGGGCGAGGCTGGGTCTCACCCCAAGCAACACACTCACAGCCCTGGGCCCTCAGTGCCGAGAGCCATGGGGGGGCTGGTTCACACGTGCGCAGGGTTTGGGGCCCATGGTTATGGGGGGCTGGTTCTCACCTCTGCCCCCCAGCTCAGGGCCATGGGGGGAGTGGCTGGTTCTCACCCCCCCCCCAGCTCTCAGGGCCTGGGGCCCATGGCCCTGGGGGGGATTTGAAATGGGCGTGGCTTTTTTCTTTTTGCCCCGCCCCCTCCCGACAATCCGGAGTCCAGTCTTCAGGCCTGGCCCCTGGCTGGGTCGGTGGTCTCGCTCACCGCCGGCCAATCAGGGTTCCTGGCGGGGAAGGGGCGTGGCCTTGTTTCCGTCCGTCACTCCGTGCCTGCCAATCAGCGTTCCTGTCACGTAGAGGGCGTGGCCCTAGCCTGGTCCCAGCTCTGGCCATTCCAGCCAATCAGCGGTCCCGGCAGTAAGGCGGCTTCTCCACTAGCCAGTCAGGGCTTCAAGCTGTGAGGGGTCGTGGCCCTGCCGCTGTCTGTCTCTGTGCCAGCCAATCAGGCTGCCAGGGGGCGTGGCCTAATTGTGTCCCTGGCTGTTTCTTACTCAGCCAATCAACGGTCCCTGCGTTATGCGGGGGCGACCCTGCTAACCAATCAGGGCCCCGGCCCGCGAGGGGGGCGTGGCTCTTGTTTCGCTGACCAATAGGCGGCGCGCTCCTAGGACGTGACCGTTGAGGGGGGCGCGCTCCGCCCCCCCTCAGCTTCCGGCCGCCAATCAGCGCTCGGTGGCGGGAAGGGGTGTGGCCTGCGTAGCCTCGCTCTCATTCTCGCTTCTCCCGCCGACCTC